AACAAACGAACAGATGCATCACTATCTTGCGTAGATAAATTGAAATCCAAACGTGATTGATGTAGTTCAATAGGTGGCGTTTGGATAGGATATTGCGAAGATCTTTTATATTCAGCAAATATCTAAAGTTCGATAAAAATAATGCAAATAAACTTTTAATAATTTTATTTTTTTTCACAAAATCTCGAAAATCTTTTATGAGATCGACAAGATCAAGATTTTCTTTTTTGTTACAATTGAAATGTTACCTGTGAACAATCATAACAAATTGTTTTTGCTTTTGGAATCAATTTATTGTTTGTATTTATTTCATTTTTAATAGAAGTTGATGATACTTTAATTAAAGCTTGTATTCGAACAGGAAAATGATGTTTCGATGAGGGAGGTAAAAAATTTGTTACTGAACATTTTCTACATATTTTCTGTTGACAAATATAACAAACAGAAGAATTGTTAGGAGAAAAAATAGTTGATATAAAAGATAATGAATTAATTTTTTTTTGACAGGAAAAACATATATCATTATGAAAGATTTTTGAATGTTGTTTGTCTTCATTTAACATACGAGTATTAAGAGTTGTTTGAGTAAGAACAGAGCGAATATGACAAATTTCAGCAAATGTTAGCCAAAGAATTTTATTAGGATTTGGACTAATAACTTTTGTATTATCATTTTCGTCAGATGATGATGATGATGATGATGATTCTAATAAACAATGAATAACATCAACTCGTTTTCGACCAGATACATCTCGTCGTTTATCATCTTCATCTTCATCATGATTAATTGTTGGCTTAATCGATTTTCGAACGGAATTTGTTCGAATATAGGAATGTTGCGACATATGTAATTCTTTTCTTTCTATCATTTAAAATGACAAGAAGAAATAGTTATTGATAATGAAAAACCTCCATCTAACGAGTTATTTTAAATAAATGAATCGTCTCCATCTGTTGCTATTCGTGTTCTCTTTTTATTTGTTGTGATTAAGAAGAAAAAATAACAAATTAGCACTCACGAAAAATACAAACACGCTTCAATGAATCTTTTCATCTATTATACGTATTCGTATATCTAAGTTTAAGAACGATAGAAATTTAGAACATCACATTATAAAATGAAAGTCAACAAGTCAGTTAGAATTTGAAGGCATTTTTTTCTGTAAAGCCAAGTTCTTTGAGAAGACCAGTCAATTCACCCTAAAATAGAAACATTTTTTTTTTGTAGTTATTATTCTTCATTGGAGCATAATGTTTTCGATAATATCAAATGATGTGGAAAGCTGAGATTGTTTTGATTTATGTGTTAGAAAGTTTCAAAATTTCTTACCTAAATAAATGATTGATTTAGTATTTATTGACTGAGATTCATTGAAATAAAAAAAAACTTCTTGAAAACATTTGAGATGATACAGTGAGAACAACTGATTTATAGTTTTTAACGAGAAAAAAAAATTTATCCATTCTTTAAAATTGTATCATGTATTCAATATCTTTTTTTTTCAAATTATTCATTCTCACATTGATCAAAGGGAACTGAAAGATTTTTTTTTCATGACTGAAAAATGGAAATTAAGTATTGTAATGATACCTGTTTAAAATCTTTTGTCTTCTCTCCACTAAGTAATTTCATAAATCCAGGTGGGCCACAAACCATAACCAAAAGACTTTCATCATCTTTCTTAGCTGGCATTGGTATTAATTTTTTTAACATTTTAGCCGTAATATATCTTAAATATTAAAAAAATGTGATTAAAATAATTGTTAAATATTTACTTACCCAACTTCACCTTGCCATATTTTTTTTTCATCTTTAGCTAATTTATCAACTATATAATGAACTTTAAGTCGATGTGGATATGTTTCAATAAGTTTATCTAAATATTCTTTTAATAAAATATCATCTAATGATGTATTAGCAAATAAAAATGTTATTTTTGTTTTATCCGTTGGATTGAAAAGAACTTCTTCAATCATTTGAATCTTAAAAATGAAATTAAAATAATAAATCGGTTTTTAAGATAAAATAAAACAAAAAAAAAAGAAGAGTATGTTTGATCTCACCATTGGAGTAAGACCAGTTCCACCAGCAACTAGAACAAGATTGTCAAATTTATTTGGTTCATATGGATACTTTGGAACTATAAAGTAAAAATTTTAGGAAAAATAATTTGTAAGATTTAGTCTTTTTACTCGGTCCTTTAATTTCAACTGTATCACCCTTTTTCAAGCTATGAACATGTTTACTCATAGTGCCTTGTGGATAATTTTTAATAACAAAGTCTAAGTGACCAACTGTATTAGGACGTGATACAGGTGTATATGGTCGAATAACTTCCTTGCCATTGATATCGGCTTTCAATACAACACATGACGCAGTTTTGCCATTATATTTTGCATTTGGATCATCAAAAGCAAATGTAAATATATTTGTATTATGATTATATTTTTTAATATCCGCTAATTTAAATGAACGAAATGCATTTGGATCGAGTGCATCAGGTGATAAAAGTGTTTGCGATGCACTAGCCGATTTTTTCGATTCAAATGTAAATTTTTGGCCAGGACCTTTATAGAGTAAATATCCGGCACCACCAACTGCTAAGGCTGTGCCTAGCCAAATCCATTTTTTTGATGCACGAGCGGCTCCTGACATCTTGATCTACTTATTGATATACAATGACTATGACAAACCAAATGAATCTGATATTATCGAAAGGTTTTGATTTGCTCGTTTTGATTTCCAATTAAGTGAAATAAAACATCAAATTAACGACATCTATTGCATATTGTCGTTATTCTTAATTTTTCTTCATATTATATTTTATTCAAATTAATTTTATTCATCTGTTGTTTCTCTGAGAAATATTGAAAATGTTAGAAAAAGAAAATTTATGCGTGAATTATAAACATATGTATTCACAGGAGAAATAATAGATGTGCATATTGGTTAGACATAAGTTTTAGGAATGAATTGCTTTCATAAGAGTCGATTAATTGTGCTAAACATTTTGTTTTAGATGCTTGAAATGGAAAGAGCACCTAGACACCGCTCATGAAAAATTCAAATCTTAAAAGTTGAATACCTTAGTATTCTGTACTTATTAGTCATACAAACATTGAGATTCATTTCTTGCTGACAGATTCAATCGAACAAAGTTTTTCATTGACAAATTTATTCATTGATAAAAGTAATGATTTGAAACTGAGACTTTATGCTAGATTCCTTCTCGTTTTAAATTCAACTTCATATAATTTTAATACTGATTTTTGTCACAGTAAGAATTTGATTGTCGAGTGTTGACATTTTTTTTTCTAGGTTTTCGAATTTTAAGAATTTGGTTCTCATACTTAAAAACATAGTGATCGAAACTTTCAGTTATACATACTGAATTTCTAGTATTTAGATATGAAAATATTGATTTAAAATCTATTAAACATCATCTGTTACTTACAAATAATGTTCAAAAGATGAATCAGTTCTATTTCAAAAATTTTCTTTAGAAAATTTTGAAAATATAATCTTTTTAAATTATTAAAAATTCTTTTTTCATTTTCGAGTTTAGAACTATGTTTTGACTAAATCTGTTTTTTCTTGCTGTCATCAAATGCATGTATGAATACTTTTCTTTCATTTCCTGTTATTACTCATATTCATTGTTATCACGCATCTCTCGCATATTAATCTGCAATTTTTCTTATTCTTTTTTTCGACACAACAATTCGAATTGAAATTGTTGATAAGATTCACATGAGTCGTTTGTACCTTCATTTGAAATTATTTCTATAATTCGAACGATTATTAGGTCTGTATTGTGTATCAGAGGAATAAATATCAAATATTTTATAGATCTATTACTATCGACAGAGAATAATAATGGTGAGTTGTAACAGAGAATTGAATCAGTAGTTTAATGTCATTTATAGAAAGGTAAAAAATACAAAAAAAAAACCATTATTTCTATTGACTTGAAAATACTTCTTTACTGACATATTAAAACGCAAACTATTGGTAAAGAATACGTAGAAGCAAAAATTGAAATGCGTACTGTAGTATATGAATATCAAAGTAACGGATTAGTTCTTTATCAGTATAGCATGAGTAATCTATAGAGTATATGTAATAAATCCTGGTCGATTATTGCTTTCAATAGTTAAAAACGAGCAATATTCTACAGCATTATTTCTATCTAGTGTTTATATCTGTCGATGTCGCAGTCCGATATTCTGGAAGTATAGTGCCATCTTTACTTTCTTCAAATGACTCAATTTTCATTGAAAGTATATCGCATTATCACATGCTTCAAACAAAAAAAAAGAATTAAATGATAGACAAATACAGTAAAAGACAATGGGCAATCTCTGTGGTTGACTATTTGTAAATATCAATCCAAAACGTTACAATTGTTGTAGTAGACCATACAATGAAATCTAGTTAAACGATGTCAAATACGTAATCTCAAATGGAGCATGTTAAGCTTAACGATTGTCCTGTTTAGTCATTCTTTGTTTCCGATAGAAAAAAACCGATAATACATCTTCCACTGCAGTCACTTTCAATGGTGTAAAATGAATTTTTTTCTCGACTCAAAAATTGATGTCTAAATTATATGAATTCGCAGTGAAATTCAACACGAAAGATCTGATGCTTTTCTTCTCATTCAGATCAGCATACGTGACAATAAGGAATCATCAAATCGTCTTCGTGCTAAGCTTTAATAGTGACATTAGTGCTATCCAGTTCGCTCACTCGAAAGAAACGTTAAACAAATATACCTATTCCATAAATCTTGCTGCTATACATATATGTATACATACCTAAATAATCATTTGATTGATGCAATCAAAATTATGGAGAGAATCCAGCACGTTTAAACGAGTTTAATTAGGAAGCGTCACGTTGTTTCAATTTTTAAATAGTTGCCACTGGAAAGACTTGTTATTATTGTTCTTTCAGCGAATTTATTCGATATGATTCCATATAATATTATGTACCAATACATGACATTCATTCATCATCATTGATATCGACATTAGTATCTTCAGATCAATGATCGAATTACTTTTCATTTCGATTCAATTTCAATAATCTAGTCTAAAAATCCAGAACAAGAGATCAAGTGTGATTGGTATGACAAGCTATAGAATTCTTTACGTAATTTGAATAGAAGCAACAATCAATGCTCAATATTATTTCCAGCAAGTTCGATCCATTGAGAGACGAATGACAAGAAAGGAACGATATGTGAATGATGATCGAATAGAGATAAATATCAAGCAAGCATGCTGCTTTCGGAAGAGATCAATGAAAAGTCGCTTCTTTCTTAGTATAGATGACATGTGAGAAATACGGTACTAATACATATGGTTCAGTTTGAAATGAAATTGTTAAAGATTAAACTGTTAGAAGACTCATGTTTGACAAATATTGCAAAGAAAGTATCTCTGAAACTCTATTTCAAGCTCGTGATAATTTCACTAGGTATCATTAAAATAAAGTGTAGGTGTCATTGATGGCTATTTGAGGGTAGGTGTGGGTGTAGATGGGTGAGAGTAAAGCAACGAAGAGAGGAATCTCACCCAATCTTATGTACACACAACTACTACACCTCGAAAGTCTGATTTGTGAGAGTTCTATTGGTGAACTTTCGACTGTTACATATGTTATGAAGATATTGGCTCCATAGATTGAAAATTATGTGTCTGATAATCATATCTCATTCATTTTATCTATGTATCTGTCTGCCTTTGCGTATGACTCTCTGAAACTCATTTTATGAACCACTGTCCACTTAATCGTGTATTTTTTTCTTGAACTCTTTAAGTTGTTGAGTTGATGCACTAAATGAATTCAAATTCAATTCTAATT